AAGTTTGTCTACGAGCCTGGCCACTCGGACTACGGGTTCGTTAAGGGAAGGAGGAGGGAGTCGGCTATCCTGGTCTCGAATGTGCTCTCGCAACGTTTGCGCCGTGCTCGCAGAACCCACTGTCTGTGCTTTAAGGACATGAGTAACGCGTTCGCCAGCGGCAAGTGGCCGCAGATGGACGCAGCTGTACAGGAGTACGTAGCACATGATGATCGCAGTCTCTGCCGTGCCCGTTATCGCGAGGCCGTCGTGGCCCTACCTGCTGGGGAGGGAGGGCGGATAACACTGAAGACTCAGCAGGGCGGGTTGATGGGGGATCCGTTTATCGCGCAGGCTTTTAACGGAACCTTCAAGGCGCCGATCGAGCAGTGGCGCGACGATGTACAAACTAGTGACCTGTGCAGTAATGAGCTGCAGGCCTCGTGGGCAGGCCGAACCATCGACGTGAGTTATTTGAAGTATGCTGACGATGTTCATAACTTTGTCTTGGCTGATCATGGTTCGGACCTGCCGTCTTTTGTGAACAAGATAAAGCAGCAGGATGTCTATTTAAACAACAGATTGGGACCCTACGGGTTCGGCCAGAACATGTCAAAGCAGGAGTTCATGATGTTTTTCGGGATCCACAACACATATCTCAAACAGGCTCTTAGGCGAGGAGGTCTGGGACTGGAGGGCTCAGTAAAGGATGAGGCGAGGTATCTGGGGCCCCATCTGGCTCTTCGGGACGGCGTACATCACGAAATCGACCGACGTATTTCGGCAGCATGGGTCTCGTTTCGGTCTCTGGGTTCGGTCTGGCAGCTGGAGCTGTCTTGGAAATTCAAACGGTTGCTACTTCAAGCATTTGCGTACAATGCTCTTTTAAGTGGTTTGGAATCTTTCACGCTCGCGAAGGGCGATTACCAAAGGCTGGAGGCCTCGCTGGCCCGATCCTGTAGGATTGCGATGGCTGGGAAGGCGACGGATTGGACAGGTAATCACCCTCGGACGATGACGAATCGTGAATTGATGAGATATTGGAAACTCTCCGACCCCTTTCTGGAGCTTCGAATTCGACGTGTTCGTTTGGTGCAGAGTTGGGCTCAACGGCCCGCTCGCCATCTTCAGGTTCTCGGCGTCCTCTTCGGGGAACTACCTTTCGAATCAGAGGGGCCACTTCTCCCCTCAGGCGACCTCAGTGCCCAGGCGTCTTCCTGGGCCTTTCAACTCCGTGAAGACCTCCGCAGCCTCGCTGCAGCGTTGGATCAGGAAGTTTTTGATGAGGTGGCTCGCGATTTCAGATTACTTATGGATGAAGCGACTGCCTCTTTCTTTTCTGCAGTGGACGCCTCGGCTTACAGAGCGAGGCAGTACACGGTCGCCATCCCGCCTCCCGAGTTTCAGCAGGCGCCACCCGAGCACCTGGAGCAGGAGGTCGAGGCGAGTGCAGACTGTCCTTGGAAATGCTGGCTTCCCAACGAGGAAAATGGATCAGGTCAATGCGATGCTTCATTCAAGACACGTCGGGACCTGATGAATCATCGTCGGGGAACGCACGGGCTGAGAGACTTATGTCATGTCGTTACACCTGCCAATATCTGTGTACATTGTCGTCAAGTATTTGCATGTCGCGCCAACGCTGCTAAACACGACATGGGATCTATGTTTCGGGGCCACTGCGACACGGTCGGCCCTTCCACGCTCCGAGAGATTGCCCCAGTCAAGTCATACTCGTGTTCCGTCTGCGAGTTCGAGGGCTCGAGTTTAAATGATTTGTGCGATCACTTGTGCTCTCACCTTCCATTTCGTCCTCGCGAGTTTACCGTACCCGAGCAGAGGAGGGATGGCATCGCAGGGCGCCGTGGCGCTTCCCTCTTGGTTCAGCTCCCCGTCGGCGGCGGCGGCAGGGACCAAGCACGGACGAGAAGACGGTGGAACAGGCGAGGAAGGTCGCCGAGGGAAGAGCAGTCGTCAAGGCCAGGGCGGTGGAGGAAACAACAAGCTGTCCGTCGCCAATGCTCGCCTCACGATGACGCTCGCCAGGGACGTCGCCGACTTGAAGGGCGCGGTCTACCTCCGCCACGAGCTGCCGAACGGCACGATCGGGCTGGCGGCCGCGTGCAAGCAGGCGGGAGTGCACTACAACAAGGTCGGCACCGAACTCAAGGACCAGCAGAAGAACGGCCACACAGTGGACTTCAAAGCCAGGGGACCACCACACGTATCCATAGCGATGGCGGCGATCATCTACGGCGCCAGCAAACAGTTCGACGAAGGTGGCAACCCGCAGCACATCGAACTCAGGGACGACACGAAGGCCTTCTACGAGAAGGAGATCTTCACCGCTGGAGTGACTGCAGTGAAGCTGGGCAGATCGATCCCGTACTTCAGGTGCCAGATTCTCAAGCCTCAGAATGGCGAGACGGCCAAAGCGATTATCAGCATGTGCTTCCACAAGGACCAGAAGCTCGGGCACGACCTGTCCCTGCTGCTCGAGGCGCTGGTGGAGTCGGAGGGGGGGATCTTCTTGTCGGGTGCGGCCCCGCGGGGCCCCTTGGAGCGCGAGATCGGCACGATGGTCGGATCCGAGAAGAAGGAGTAGGCAGCAGGCCCCCAGGAGACCTCCCCAGACAAGTAGTAGCTAGCCAGCCCCCGTCGGGGCCACTTTTCGAAGCAGATAATTCGGAGAAACTAAGTAGTGACTGCATAACTCAGCAGCAGCAGCAGCAGCAACCAAGCCAGCAGCCCCCTGTCGGGGCTATGTGCACTCGTTTTTTGTAACCCCTCCAGGGCCTCAAGGGCCCAGGAAGCTTTCTCGGGAAGTGAGCGATTTCGGGAGTTAGTTGCTAGAGGAGCAATTTCATCTGAGGTGCTTAATACGCCCACTCAGCTCTGTACCTATGCCGCTGCCTCCTCTCTTCCTGGCTCACTGCCCCAGACCCCAATTATATATGCCCCCAGAGCTAAAGGTAAAGCGGGCTCCAAAGGCAAGGGGAAACGGTGGGGCTCTGGGCGAAGGAGGACGGGTGGTGTGGACGGGACCCCCGTGCCTTCGGAGCCTGCCCCCTAGGGCTGCGTGCCCGTCTATAGGGGTGCAGGTAGGGCCAGTGCCGCTTCCAGCGGAGCGCGCTGGTTGAATCCGCTACGATGTCTGGGGGGTGCAGAAGCAACCCGACTCAGAGTCCTTCTCTCTGGATTGTAATTCTGTTTCAGCGAGCTGTGGCAGTCAGACAGAGGCAGGTACAGGACTCCACGAGTGATTCATTCATTCATTCCTCCTCCTCCTCCTCCTCCTCCTCCTCCCTCACCCTATTGCTCCTCCTCCTCCTCCTCCTCCTCCTCCTCCTCCTCCTCCTCCTCCTCCTCTTCCTCCGCCTCCTCCGCCTCCTCCTCCTCCTCCTCCGCCTCCTCCTTCTCCGCCTCCTCCTCCCTGACGCAGCCCAAGGCGACCAGGGTCAATCCAGATCACCTGGGCCTGCCTCCTCCTCCTCATTCTCCCCTTCCTCCTCCTCCGAGCGAAGGGGGATACAGTCGGACCTGGGCCAAAAGAACATGCATCCAAGAACATGAGACCCTCCGCCAGCCAAAACACACACACACACACACAGAACATCCGAGGGTATCCTCCCCAGGATGCACGAGAGCATCCAACAAGGAGCTCGACCATAAGAAACCTTCCACGAGAAACCCAACCCTGAGACCCCAGGGCGTCCCTTGACTCTCGGCATGGGAGCGTCACGCTTCCCATCGCAAAACCATCGAAACCCAAGAAACCCAGAGCACCCTGGAACCATCGAGACCCAAGAAAACCAGGGCACCCTGGAGGCAAGCAGGGTGTTTCTTGGCATGGGCTTCCTCTGTACACAATACAATATGGAAGCCTGCGCGCGATCACCACCACGCAGAGGAGTGAGCGCGAACATGGATACAGTCGCGACGGCGCAGACATGGCACAAGACAACGGGGTGCACGCATGCGGGCGAGAGATATGGCACCCCAAAAGCAAATGGACGCCTTCTGAAACACCGTGGCCCCGAAACCACGCGGCTCCATTGAGAACATCGCTCTCGCGAGCCTGGTATGTTCGGGACCACCCGCACAGCCATGGGAGTACAAAACCTCGTTGACAAACAACGCCCCCTACTACTCCATCACTTGTTCCGCAGACCACCAGTGACCGCAGAGCACCTCGCCGCTTCTTGGATGCACAACGGCGCGCGTCGCATGCCTTGCGACTGGCCGCATGGCACGGGAGGGCCCCACGAGGAGCCCAAGAGGACCCCAAGACGGCCCGAAGAGCACCAAAGAGCGCCCCAGGAGCGGCCAAAGAGGGCCCCAGAAGGCCACTCGTCGGGCCCAGACGGGGGGGGCACTACTGGAGTACACCCCGTCCTTTGACTGATGGCTTCTAAGATTGCCCAAGGGGGCGCCCAAAGCCTCCAAGCCCCAAGCAAGGCCCAAGAGGGCCCCAAGAGATCCCCAAGAGAGCCCCAGAGGCCTCCCAAGGTCCACAAGAGGGCCCCAAAAGGCATCAAAAAAGCTCCCAGAGCAAGGGATCTGCGAAGGCCTTGATGGTTGACTCCTGTCGTCGTCGTCAACGTCTTCGTCGTCGACGTCGTCGTCGTCAGCGGCGGCGGCGGCAGCGGCGGCGGCGGTGTCGTCGGCGTCGGCGGCGGCGGCGGAACCTTCGTCGTCAACATCCCCCCATCCTTGCTACGCTGCATGCGAATGTAGCTTCACTTCCCTGATCAAGGCAACTTACCTGGGCATCGCCACTACAACTGCCCCGGGTTTTCCGCGCACGCGGTGATAGGGCGTAAACGCTTCCCGCGGCTGCCTGGGTTGAGTGGTTGCCTGTCGTCGCTCTCTGCTTGCTGGATGATCAGCGTGCGCGTAGTCAGTTCAGCGCGCCCAAAACAACGCGAGCATGGCGAACAGCGACAGGCAACCACCTACCAAGGCGGCCCCGGGTACGCGCGACGCAAAACAGGCACCGCAGGCAACGACAGGCAACTGATCTACAGGGGCGCTGCACATCCCTGACCAGGGCAACTCGACTGGCGTCTGTTTTTGGATAGGCCAGTGCGGAGAACTCGAAGCGTCAAGAATTCTGGATGCCCCTCTTGCTTCTACTGGGCGGGCACTCGCGAAGGAGGAGGAAGAGGAGGAGGAGGAGGGAGGAGGAGAAGGAGGGAGGAGAAGGAGAGGAAAAGGGGGAGGCAAAGGGAGAAGAAGAGGCCTCGTCGCCCTCATCCCCCATGCTCATCATCCTGGCTGTCGTCGTGCTCCTTCCGTTCCCGGCGGCTCACCGCCAGGGACGCTGAGCCCCCGTGGTGCCGTCTGGACAGCTGGCTTGCGCGGTGGAAAACCCGCACGTACGCGGCAAACAGGCAGGCTCTCCTGAGGCGGCGGGCGGCTCCTCTACGCAGCCGCCCCTGGGTCCTTGGGTCCGTGGCGCACCACGTCCCCCTGATACAACACAAAGAAGGCGGTGGCATCAGCCTCTTCCTCCCCTCTACTCCATCCTCCTCCTTCTCCTCTCCTCCTCCTCCTCCTCCACCTTCTCCTTCTCCTTCTCCTTCTCCTTTTCCTTCTCCTCCTCCTCCTCCTCCTCCTCCTCCTCCTCCTCCTCCTCCTCACCTCCTCCTCCTCCGCATCCTCCTCCTCCTCCTCCTCCTCCTCCTCCTCCTCCTCCTCCTCCTCCTCCCTCTCCTCCTCCTCCTCCTCCTCCTCCTCCTCTCTCCTCCTCTCCTCCTCCCTCCTCCTCCTCCTCCTCTCCTCCTCCTCCTCCTCCTCCTCCCTCACCCTATTGCTCCTCATCCTCCTCCTCCTCCTCTTCCTCCTCCTCCTTCTCCTCGTCCTCCCCATTCCGAGTCCCCCCCTCCTCCTCCTCCTCCTCTCCTCCTCCTCCTCCTCCTCCACCTCATCCTCCTCCTCCTCCTCCTCCTCCCTCCTCCTCCTCCTCCTCCTCCTCCTCCTCCTCCTCCTCCTCCTCCTCCCCCTCCTCCCCCTCTTCCTTCACCTCCTCCTCCTCCTCGTCCTCCTCCTCCTCCTCCTCCTCCTCATCCTCCTCCTCCTCCTCCTCCTCCCTCACCCTATTGCTCCTCCTCCTCCTCCTCCTCCTCCTCCTCCTCCTCTTCCTCCTCCTCTTCCTCCTCCTCCTCCTCTTCTTCCTCCTCCTCCTCCTCCTCCTCCGTCCAAGCACATTGGGCCCAAGGCGCGTAGATCCTTTTTGGCTCAAGCGCGTCATGGGTCCTGCCCCGCCGCCTCAGCGCGGCGTGCTTGTGGCTTCTCGCAACTCTGGATGTTAGGCATCGTCTATTCACAGAGGCGTGGGTCGGCTAAGAGCGGGGCGAAGTGTCAGAGTCAGGTTCTAATTCATTCAATGGTTGCATGCCACCTGGGACACTTGTCAGGCGTTCGTGGATGTCCGTGGGACGTTGGGTTCATCTTCCCCGATTTGCGGGGCCTTCAAAGTGCGTATGGTGGCCAAGCTTGTATATTTCAATATGTGTACGGTTATTTTATTGTGCCCATGGGATACCCACAGGGTTCATACCCACAGGGTCTTGCGGCACTTTTTTTGTACCTGCTTTACCTTCACATGCTGCGTTTATTGTTTCAATGGTCAGTTTGAAAGCTCTGGTGATCGGCATCGGTACCGCTCTGCATCTTTCAAGATTGTGGCCATTTGTGTATGCAGTGTTGCGTATCCTTATCAGTCACTTGTGCATGTTTCGGCAGTGGTTTGGGGTTTCGCTTTTGGGTGTACGTGGGAGTCTTGTTATTCCCCTGTTTGGAAGTGGGCTTCGTGGATTGCTGGCATTCATGTGTGCGGGGTATATGCTTCAATCGGTCGTGGCTGCAGTCGCTCGTACAGGCTGTATTATCGAAGTGGTTATGAGGTCGTCACTGGGGTGCACGCGGGAATTTCCCCTACTCCGGTATGGTCTCCAAGTCGGTTGCCGCCCGTATGGTGCAGCCTACATGCAGCGCGTGGTGTATTGCATGGTCGCCGTCCTCTTCTTTCTCCTCGTGTCGCTGGAGGCGGTCAGAGAGCGGTGTAGCATGGAGTTAAGACTTAGTCTTCAGTCATTCTCATTCTCATTCTCATTCTCCTCCTCCTCCTCCGTCTCCTCATCCTCCCCATTCCGACTTCCCCCCCTCCTCATCCACCTCCACCTCCTCATCCCCCTGCTCCCCCTCCTCGTCCCCCTCCTCATCCTCCTCCTTCTCCTCCTTCTCCTCATTCTCCTCCCCCCTCCTCATGTGTCGCCTCCTCCACCTCCTCCTCCTCCTCCTCATCATCATCATCCTCCTCCTCCTCCTCCGCCTCCTCCTCCTCCTCCTCCTCCTCCTCTCCTCCTCCTCCCTCCTCCTCCTCCTCCTCCTCCTCCTCCTCCTCCTCCTCCTCCTCCTCCTGCTCCTCCTCCTCCTCCTCCTCCCCCTCCTCCCCCTCCTCCTCCTACTCTTCCTCCTCCTCCTCCTCCTCCTCCTCCTCCTCCTCGTTTATATGTTTAAATTAGAATACGTATGAATGACATCCTCCTCCTCCGCCGCCTCCTCCTCATCCTCCTCCTCCTGCTCATCTTCCTCATCCTCCCCCTCCTGATCCTCTTCCTCGTCACCCTGGTCCTCATTCGGCCTTACGGGTGAAGCAGAGTCGTGCGGCGCCGATTCGCTACAGGCCAGAGGGGACCAGGAAGACACAGAACAGAGAGCTGCTGGAGGAACCAGCTTCGTAATTGTCATCACCCACATCATCGTCGTGCTCGGTATCATCATACTTATCACACTTATCACCATCGCCGTCATCATCACCGTTCTAGTCGTTCGACATACAACTCCCTTCTCCTGAGTATCTTCCCCGCTCCCTCCCCTCCATCTCCTCATGTCACCCTAACTACCCTGCGCATCCTCCGCATAGCCTTGCCCTGTCCTCCTCCCCTCCTCCCCACTCCTCGTCCTCTCATCATGCTCCTCCTCCTCCTCCTCCTCCTCCTCCTCCTCCTTGGTGCCCCTCCTCCTCCTCCTCCTCCTCATCCTCCTCCTTCCTGCTCTCCCAGCGGCGACGCGGCAGCCAAACTCTTCGGAGGCCCCTGGACACCCAAGTCAAGAGGGACCCGCAACGTCAAAAAGCATGAGACTCCTCATCCTCCTCCTCGTCCTTCTCCTCCTCGTCTTTGTGTTCGTCTTAGTAGTGGCCGGAGTCATCGTCTGCGCACAAGTCGTCTGCTTACTAAAACGATGTTGGTCTTAGTGTCCACCTTCTTATCGGAGTCATGCATGTTGGCGGTACTAGTATATACCAACGTTCTTCTCCGTAGTAGCATTAATGTTGGCATTACTACGAATATCAGTACCACGGTTATCGGTGTAAACGCATCACGGGCAGTCCTAGAAGTGTCTTTAGTAGTAGTAGTGGCGATATCCTCATTAATTATTATTACTAAGTTTAGTAGTACTGTGAGTGGTGATGCTATCTTCAGTAATAGTATTAATAATGGCGTTGTTGTAGGCACCAATAGTCTTGCAAACAATACGTTGTTAGCAATAATACGTTGTTAGCAGTAGTTCCGTTGTTAGCGTGCTGCGTATTATTAATACTACTGCAATGTCACTGGTACGACCGCTTATGTCATTCGTCTTGTCATTATCACTAGCCGTGTTTAATCGTATGAACTGTCATTAGTATTCCCATTAGTATGAGCCCTCGTATTAGCATTCTTAGTCTGCGCATGCTCATGGTTATGATTAGTAGTTCTCTTATTCGTAGTATTATGCTTCTGCTGATTGTGACTATCAGTGCTCCTCTCAGTATTGCCATCATTTGCATCATGATTCGTATCACTATTCTTCTATATCATCCGCCTCCTCCTCCTCCGCCGCCGCCTCCGCCCTCGCCGCCGCCTCCGTCTCCGCATCCACCACCTCCTCCTCCTCCTCCAAAATTACACAATATGCATACTACTCTACTCTCTCCCCTGGTGGCGTCACGGGAATGTCCGGGCCCCATGCGCGTACTGGCTTCTTACACACAGGATTCCTGGGAGTTGGGTTTTCGCTTGGGCTTTGGTCCAAAATGCTGCTCTGTCTAGAAGCACTGGCCTCATTTTCGGGGTACCGCTCGTTCCGAATCATGCTACCGCTGCAGCGCTGGCCTCATTTCCGCGCTTCCGCTCGTCCCGAATCGTGCTCGCGCTGCAGCTCTGGCGTCATTATTTCCAGCGTCATGCCACGGCATGGTTCTCGGTCCTTCTAAATAAGCCCCAAAATCTTAAAAACGGTGAATAAACCATCGGAAGTGATTACACATTCGGTGTCGATTCGATGTTTTGGGGGGCCGCAGAAGCCCCTCCCCAACTTTGGGGCGTCGCCACGCCATGCTATGTCAGGCTACGCGTCCTCATTTCCGCGCTTCCGCGCTTGGTTTTTCCCAAAATGCTGCTCTCGCTAGAAGCACTGGCCTCATTTTCGGGCTACCGCTCGTTCCGAATCATGTTCCCGCTGCAGCGCTGGCCTCATTTCCGCTCTTCCGCTCGTTCCGAATCGTGCTCCCGCTGCAGCGCTGGCGTCATTATTTCGAGCGCCTTGCCCTGGCATGGTTTTCGGTCCTTCCAAATAGCCCCAAAATCTGAAAAATGGCCTCCCGAAGAAACCATCAGAAGTGATTACACATTCGGTGTCGATTCGTTGATTATCTGGGCCGCCCCCCACCTTGCCACGCCATGCTATGTCAGGCTACGCGCTGATCTTCGACACCAGCTATGCCATGTAATGCTATGCCATGCTGCGACATCCGATTGTGCGAATAGAGAGGAGATGTACGCCATGCGGGAGGAGTAGGACGTCAAATATGACGCGAGCGCACCTAGCTTGTCCTCATCCCCCTCCTCCTCCTCCTCCTCCTCCTCCTCCTCCTCCTCCTCATCCTCATCATCATCCTCATCCTCATCATCATCATCATCATCATCATCATCATCATCATCATCATCATCATCATCATCATCATCATCATCATCATCATCATCATCATCATCACATCATCATCATCATCATCATCATCATCATCATCATCATCTCATCAGCAGCATCATCATCATGTTCATCATCATCATCATCAGCAGCATCATCAGCATCAGCATCACATCAGCATCAGAATCAGCATCATCACATCAGTCAGCATCAGCATCAGCATCAGCATCAGCATCAGCTCATCAGCATCATCAGCATCATCATCATCATCATCAGCATCAGCAGCATCAGCATCAGCATCAGCATCAGCATCAGCATCAGCATCAGCATCAGCATCAGCATCATCATCATCATCATCATCATCATCATCATCATCATCATCATCATCATCCCTCCCCCCAGCCCTCCGAGACTGTCTGGGCCGTGGAGCCTCCCGACGCTGGACTGCTGCAGGTCGACACCGGGTGCGCGGCGGAGTCGAGTGCGCTGGGGAGGAGGCCTTCAACAGGAGAGAAGCATCGATCCGCGAGGCGGGTCTGATGTGGCGGCAGCCCGATGTGCCGTCGCGGTTGCTCGGCGACAGAGGGACCGATCTCTGCTGTGGCCGTTGCGACGTCACCCTCGTCGGTCGGCGCCGTGGGCGAGGGCGTTGCGCATGCAGGTGCTGTGGAGATACCGTTCTGCGCTGCACGGTCGCGAGCAGTTGCCCGCGCTGCCGAGCGATCTGGCGCAGTTCGCGTCTACGCCGAGTGTTCGACGAAGAGTGGGACAGCCAGGACGGCTCTGACAGCTGCTCGAGATGAAGATCGAGCCCCTGATCGTGGAGCCGTTCGTGCTCGCAGCCGCGGCGGCCCTGGTCCCCGGGCTCGTGCTCGTGGACGGCGTTATGGCAGGTGCACGCAGGCCCTGGCCAGCCTCGCACACACTGGTCAAGAGTGTGGCGAGGCAGCGTCGCCGCTGATAATAAAAGCTCCTCCCTCACCCTAATCCGCATCCTCCCCGCCCTCTCCATGCTCCTCATCCTCCACATCTTACTCATCATCCCGATCCCTTCAATTCTCCAAATGCGTCCCCTCCTCTTCCTCCTCTTCCTCCTCTCTCTGCAAGCCCCTCCTCCCCTAAAAAAGCATGCCTCTCCAGGGGGGCTGCGTGACCAGGATTTTGAGGCGGATCCAGCCGTGCCGACGAGGACGCCACAGGAGGCCCAAAGAGGGCACAAACCTGGGGGAGACGAACGAACGAGAAAAAAAAAACGATCCTATAACCCCGTCGAAGCTCCGCCCTCGAAGCTCGATCCTCGCCGCCACCACCGCCCTCAAGGGGAAACGTTAGGGGCAGAGTGGCCCACGGGGAGACGTCGAGCCAGAATCGGCGAACACCGCCGATAGATCGGCGGCGGGTTCCCGACAGCAAGAGCGCACGGTCCTGGGCGGCGTGGGGCCGTCGGGCCCAGCTCGGCGATGAATTGGGCGACTGGGGGTCTATGCATCCCCTCCTAATTCCATCACCCCCCTGATGTTGCCCCCTCGCCTTCGGGGCACAACTCGGCTGTCTGGCGGCCAGTCGGGAAAATCCGGGCACCCCAGAACGCTATCGGCGAGAAGCAGCCGCTGGATGGCATCCCGAAGTCGGAAAGCCGACGAAAGCCGACGAAAACACTCGAAAAGCTCAAACCTCGAAGCCTTGCGTCCCCCAGGCCCGCCAGCGGCCCGCCGAGGAGTCCTCACCGCATCCGTAGCGGCGAGGCAGCAGCCCTGGCTCACGGGGCTCAACACGTGCAAAATGTGGCCTCGGCCACGGCGGGTCCCCCGCAGCGGACGGCCCTCCCCCCGTCGGCGGCGGCGGCGTCGTCGTCGTCGCTGTCCTCCTCCTCGTCCTCCTCCTCCTCCTCCTCCTCCTCCTCCTCCTCCACCTCTTCTTCTTCTTTTTCTTCTTATTATTAGTATTATTCTTATTATTCTTCTTCGTATTATTATTATTCTGATTCTGCTTCTTCTTCTTATTCTTATTATTATTATTATTATTATTATTATTATTCTTCTTCTTATTCTTATTATTATTCTTCTTATTATTATTATGATTATTCTTATTATTATTATTATGTTTATTCTTCTTATTATTCTTAGTATTCCTCTTATTATTCATATTCTTCCCCTTCGTCTTCTTATTATTATTCTTCTTCGTCTTCGTATTCTTAGTATTCCTCTTATTATTATTTTTCTTATTATTATTCTTCCTCTTCTTCTTCATCGTCTTCCTCTTCTTATTATTCTTCTTC